ATATTTGACATGAACCTGGTCTCTAATTTCACTGAGGAGCTCCCCGGAGGAACATTTTGAACTGAGCACCTTGGGATGCTTCACTCTGGCTCTGATGACACAGGGGCATTTGAACATGAAGAATGCACAGTTTTGCTTTTCTGTTGAAAACCTGCAGTCAAAACCCTTTTGAGCTCCCGCAGCAGCCAAGAGACCCAATGCCTTTTCAAACCAGGATGGTGAGTAAAGGTTTGTTCAAGGGACATGGCAAAAGAAAAGCCAGTTGTTCCCAAACTCTCCTAAGATCTGATCCATCAGTGAACTGTTCAGAAAAACTGCTCGTACTGCAATTTTCAATCAGTACATAAATAAAAACCAGTAAATTCAACCGGTCATTGTACCTGAGAAGCAAGTAAATGTTGAAGTGCACAAATCAGAAAATAATAGACAGTGTTTTCCTGCACTGAGTCTTGGCTATGTTATGAACCGACCAGAGGGATTTGTGTTTTCTAGCAACTCAGTGATGATTTTCCTGCACTTTGCTCCACTTCACAGAATCACAGAATGTTCAGGGTCAGAAGGGACCTCTGTGGGTCATCTAGTCCACCCCCCCTGCCAAAGCAGGGTCACCTACAGCAGGCTGCACAGTACCTTGTCCAGGTGGGTTTTGAGTATCTCCAGAGAAGGAGACTCCACAAGCCCTCTGGGCAGCCTGTTCCAGTGCTCCATCACCCTCAGAGGGAAGAAGTTCTTCCTCATGTTCAGCTGGAACTTCCTATGCTTCAGTTTGTGCCTATTGCCCCTTGTCCTGTTGCTGGGCACCACTGAAAAGAGTCTGGCCCCATCCTCCTGACACCCAGCCTTAAGATATTTATAAGCATTTATTAGGTCCCCTCTCAGCCTTCTCTTCTTCAGGCTAAACAAGCCCAGCTTCCACAGCCTTTCCTCTTAGGAGAGATTCTCCAGTCCCCTCACCATCCTCGTAGCCCTCCGCTGGACTCTCTCCACTTCTGTGAATTGAAGTTTAACAGCAAAATGGCTACGGGGATCAGGCGGCTGGGGGGCACATCCACAGACCCTCCTCCTTGCTGTCAGTGCTTCTCTCTGGCTGCACCCCCAACTCCCTCCTCACTGAGCACAAAGCCCTGGAGAAGCAAGGGACAAAGAATTCAGTAGGACTTGTGCGCTGGTTCCTTCTGCTGTTCCTGGAGTTTTTTGTCGTTAACGGCTACGACGTGTTTGTATTTGCTGCAGAGCTTCCCCGTTACCAAAGCAGTATTCTTCATTGCAGAGCATTAGTGGTTTCCCTTTTCAACATCAAGAATAAATCACTGAGTTCAGAACACGCTGTTCCTGAGGCTTTTGTCTTTCTAGTGACTTATTTTCTCCAAGCAATAGCAAAACTCAGATTGGGTTTTATCTACTGCTGAGAAAACTACAGACTAAGGGCAACCTGTGTTTTCTCTTCCTTCTGTCTTTCCTTGTTGTTGTGTTTCCCCTCCTATGCAGCTCACAGTCTCAGACATACTTTGGCGAAATGAGACTGTCACATTCAACAGATGAATACCATTTTAAATCAGAGGAAGGCTGCACACTCGGATGTAATCCCATCGAGAAGGTTCATCAGGTTCTTGGAAGAATAACCTCACCGCAGCATGAGAGGTATTGAAACACATTTATGCATCACTCCCTGGCAGGTGGAAGACAGAAAAGGGGTCCCCCAGGACACCTGCTTCTGTTACAAACATAACAGCAAAGACTTTTGAACACAATAAAGTGATTATGTGCACTAAATTTGGAATCGAGTAACATTCCCCCTTCCTCCCCCTACTTCAAAGACTGTACCTTGTACAGATGCAGAGCAGACAGAATTTGCTCCGCTACTCAGTAACAGAACAGTGATGCTCACTGGTGGATCCTGGGGGCCTCTCCATTCTTTACTTCTATTTGTTATTATTTCTTTTTAATGTTGTGCATCATGCATTTTTCTGCATGACTGCTGCAGAGCTGAGTTTCAGAAGAGGTAAACTGTATTTGTACAGGGGAGTAGGAAGTTTGACACTCCACCAGCTACTGAATCTTACTCTAGCCTGTAATTTATCATAGAGAAGTGCAGGGCTCCAGATAGGTGCCCCCTTTTCCATGTTTGTTTTCATTAAACCTGCATAAATTAATAGTTCAGTCATTATCACTAAGAGCTTATTGTTAGGAGACTCAACGTAGCTGCACTGACTCTCCCCAAACACAACCTCCTATGTTTTCTTCCTCTTCAAAAAGCCAAAGGAATACTAAAGAGCACTGCTAGAGCATAATTCTGCTCCAGTCAAACACGAGGGACCACACAGCAGTGTTGATACAGAATCCCTTTCCTTTAGACTTCATCTAAAACCGAGCCATCCCTTGAAGCCCCTACTTCTGCCTTCACCACTGATCCAGCCTGTCTCTGGATGTGCAATACGGTTCTCCGAATCTGATCTTCCACTACTATAAAATCTGTCTTTCTAAAGAACTTGCATTGTTTTTCCTTTGTCACATCTCCCAGTTTACTCGCTTTCCTATGAATCTTAGGATTTTCTTTTCACCAGAGAGGCAGAAGTCCAGGGATTGTACGAGTCACGCAGAGGATACAGTGTCATGCTCTGATGACATGGAATCACTTAGTAAACTTAATTCGACTGAAACGGTAGAACCGAGACACAAGCACAGAGAGTAGATCAGAGGAATTTCTCTATATAGGAGCAAGCACCTTCTCTGTTGCCTGGCCATCTTTCAAACACCATTAAAGGTAACTGCTTGTACAATTTTTCAAAGCACAGCCTTCCAACAGCAGAGAATGCAAGCCAACTTTCAGTGCAAACACAGGATACCTCTATTAACTGTACCCAGAATTCAAGCTTTGTCGGTGACCCTTCCGACTGTAGGCAGAAAAAGGTAAATGACGTATCTGTCACTTCTGAAAGCTCTTGCTAACCTGCATGTTTTCTGTAGCGTCACCAAGTAATCCTCCAAAAGTGATAGCGTTGGTCACTGTGGCCAGGTAGATGAAAAGAATGGCTGAAAGGGCTTGAATATTTAAAGCATCGTAGAAGTCACTGGCGAAGAACGGTGCTTTCCTCTTTATGTCTTTGATTAAGCCACCACAGAATCTGAAAAGACAAGCAAGAGAAGAGTCATGCAAAATGTTTTACAGTGAAACTCACCACGATAAGTAACCAGAAACATTGCCAGAAATGAAGTATTATCTGAACGGACTGAGATCATCACATTACGTAATAGTCTTATCACTGATGTGATGGTTCAGGGATATCACTGAGATAATGTTGTAAAGCAGGTATCTTGAAAATGTGATGCAGCTGAAGAGACACAAGTCCTACTTCTGCTGAAACAGACCACTGAGGTTTGCAGTTCAGGAAGCTTGTCTGTTGGGTTTTTTCCCCAACTATATTGGTTGATGTAATAAAATATATTAACTCTAGTCTAAATCCCTGCCTACACTTCTCCACATGGCAGACACAATGGTTGGGTGAGCCAAGCAATCTCTAAATGGAAAAATGCTTCAAACTGTTCACCAGAAAAAGAACTAGAAGTAAAAATGCAAGTAAGTGAAATCATCTTGGAAAACAGGAGAGCTCCACTTGCAGACATATTTTTTTGGGCAATCACAGTCAAGACAATTATTTAACTCTTATAAACTCCATGTGACTCTGACACTGTCAGCATGAAAAATTCTTCTGTTTTGCCTCTTGTTCCCTTGCACACAGTTCACCACCAACACCAGGACTGTTCGGACACTCTGTACGCAGAGAAGTACTTGGCAGATATGCACACATTACCTTCTGACCCAGAATCAGGATGTATCGACTGACTTGTACACAAGAATGTGTAATTTCAGACTTTCAGACTTTTCTCCTAGAATTTAGATATTCTACTAGAACTTAAAAAAAAATGTGGAGTGGAAGGGAGGGCACAATGCCACCACAAAAACCTGTGTATTGACCCTGAAATGCTGAACACACTATTTTATGGCCACCTGAACTGCATTGCCACCCTAGTGGCATACAAGCAGAGTAATAAAGCAGAGAGTGATGCCTTGGGCTTTGTTACCTTCTCTATTTCTAACCCATAAAAGCCTTCATCTACACAATGTAACTACAACAGGAATGTACGGAAAAGGGAGCATTTCTGCTATTGGCTAAACCACTTCCAGCAATCCGAATGCAAACTGTAGCTGTAGCTGCCACGTTTACATCCTTTACAGTTCGTCTAACTTCACAGGCTTTCAACAGCCAGCACCTGCCTGGGTCTTCTTTCATTTTTGAGTGCCTCAGTTAGGATGCTTTCTAACTTGCTGAGGCTGGATGTTCAGAACCCTTCAGACAGTCTCTAGCTGGGCACTAAAAACCCCGGGACATGTTTTGGGGGTCACAGCTTAATCTATACAAACAGTCTGCAGTATGAAAAGCAGAAGGGGCAAAACAGTTCTGCAAGGGAAACATTGCCACCTTGCTTGGATGCCACCAGGTGCATCACGCTGAGCGGCGTGTTACTGACCTGCCAGTTCGTTGTAGCTCTTCACAGTCCCCGTGGCCCCCACCACCGTGTCCTCCATCATGAGGCGTGTCTCCATTCATCTGCAGATTTTCTCCACCGGAGTACATGTTTTTCCTAGGCAAGAATGCAAGGGAAACTGAGGCTCACTGCGTTGCCTGACGGCTCCACAAAACATAAACCATACACAGGTCCTCCAAACATGTGTTACACAGCCTTTCCTGAAGCCATGTCATACAAACACTAGAAGGCTGACCTGCTGACAGCCAGAGTGGAATGTAGCATATTAGAAAGACCAAGAAGAACCTCAAAGAGTCTGCATAACCACTATGTATGTTATTATATGCCTACAACATCACTTCAAAGGGTACAGAATTGCAAAAGCATCCTCCTTCCAGCTATTAAGACCAACCTGAACATATCTCTAGTACTTTCTAAATACAGACAGATGCAGGTCACTCTGAATTGCTCAATAAGCCTGGTGTACCCAAAGCATCGGCTATTCCCACCACCTTTTCAGAACTGATGCGCTGTCCTTCACCACAGAGCTAAATCTGCCTGTCTCCTGCCGTTACCTTTTATCTGAAGAAGGAAGAGACTTGGGTGGCTCTATCCTAATGGCTGGATCCCATTCCCCAGGGGGGAGCACAATGACTTCATCCAAAAACTCATCAATGCCAGCAATTAGGTCCTGCCGGTCCTTGGCTTTATAGGCAATGTCGTGGAACACCTGCAAGGAAAAGAGAGATTCCGTGTAGAAAAGCTTTGCATTTTCTGTAGCCCAGACTCCAGAGGCAGCTGCCAAGTTTTATTCTACAAAACCAACTTCTTCATTCTCAAAAAGTATCAAGATACTTGGCACAAGAGTGTGCGAACCTCAGGAAAGCCCTTTCTTTTGGTTGGCTGCTTAATAATAGAGATTCTTTTCTTGCAGGCATATTTCTAATTTTTAGCAAAATACACATTTCTAACCTTTTAAAAAGTCTTACTAAAGCAATTATCCATTTCTTTTATCCAAAAAAAAGAGTGTTCGTAGAAATAAAGAGTTACAATTATAATTTGAGAAGACACTTTTACAAAGCCACAAATAAGTGTCAATCCTTTTTTCCTATCTACTTCAGTCCATCATGAAACAGGTTAGTTTCCAACCCTGTGACACAGAAACAATGACAGTATTTTCTCAAAAATTCTAACAAGAAGCACAAACTAGTTTTACTGAAAGGTCTAGTATTATTGATGAAAAGAAAATGAGAGAAGAGAGGAAAAAGAGCATTAATGCTAAATTTTACAGAAATCTTTTGGACTACTTGGAGTAAAGGTGGATCAGCCCATGTGATAGACTTAATAAGGTCAGTGATAAGGAGGACGACTTTGGGGCTACGGAAACTAGATCACTGCTCCAAGCAGTGGAAGGACAGAAAACAGAAGAGCTGAGACCAGGCGAGCTGTAATTAAAGGACCTGTATGAGAGCAAAACAACGTAAGGAGAAAGCTAGAAACGAACATAATGTAAATATACCCCAGATGCGCAGAGCCCAAGGGACACTGGAAGAAAGAAGTCATAAATGAATATTGAAAGCCCAGTCGTCTCATCGAGGTGTACAATTAGCAAGTAATTGCTAGCTACTCATGGATAATATATAAGCACTACCTGAATTAAGAAGTGCTCTGGGATACAGTGCAACACACAACAATATGTCCTGGGTGTAATAATTTCTGCGGTAATTACCTGGAGCGTAGCTGCGGGTTACTGTGATCGTGGAATGTGACATAAGGCACACACCACAAGATTAATTCAAAGATTAATTCATAGTCTATTTGAAAGAGTGATTGCTAGCAGGAAAATGCACATGATGGACAAAAACTTCCTATAGTCATGCTGTTATAAAAACACTAAGCCAGATGAAATAATTATGGAAATAGATGGAATTAGGAGGTGACACTTGGATGTTCCAAGCTCATGTGTATTCCCACTCCCGTTGACCACACTGCACAAAAGGACATCACTATTAGCTAATGAAGTGAAACCTGGGAGGACCCATTTCATGCAGGAGATGCCAAGACACTTACCTCATCTGACATCAGAGTGGCAATGGCTCGGCCGATCTCATGATAGGACTTTGCTTTGCCCTTCGGTCCCAGCAGAATGAAGAGAAATCTGACAAAACAAGCAGATTGTTCCCATTTAGGATAGCAAAATGGATCACTTATTACTTACACAATACCTAGACAGAAACTCAACTTAAAAAAGTTGTGGCCCTTGTCAAAGATCCAGAGGCTGACAGTGGCCTCCAGCTACCTTGGGAACAAAGGTTACACCCTGCAGCCCACCACGCTTACTCGGAGAAGCAAGACACTACCCAGATGTTTTTTTCCCAAAAAGCCTTAGAAGTAGCCTTGAGACCACTGTGGACAAATGCTATCACAGCCCTACTCAGAAGTCACTACCATCCAGCAACCTAGACTTCAGGACGAGGTGAAGAAAGGGCACTCTTCCAATGCCCAGTACCTGAAAGTGAGCTATGCAGGACGGATGCAGCTCCAGCACAGCGCTGTTGAGGATCCCTGCCCTGTACACCACAGAAAGCCCATCCACCTCCATAGTGATTTGTTTCATCATGTTACCAGCTCCTTGTAGCTGTTCAGTCCTTGTATAAGGAACCTGAATTAAAGGTTTCCCTAGTGCTATTCCAGTGCCATTCACATGGCAATAGCACTGATGTAACTGTTGCTAAATAGCCAGGTGGGGACAGAAGAAGATTTAAGGACTGCTCACTCTGCACATCTCCAAGGGCAGCGACACACCTGAGCACCCTCTGCTCACAGGACCGACCAAGTGGGGCCAGCACAGCAGCGGGCACCGAGGTAAGAGGGAAGATGCTATTAAGTATCCACATCGCTCACTGTAAACTACATTGCTCCCCCGAGCTATCAGATAGCACTCCGCGCGCTTACTAATGCTCTGCTGGGGCTGAGAGCTCTGTTATGGTTCAGCACCCAGAGCAGCTACCCACATGTGAAGGGAAACCAGCTATAAATAATTAAGCCCAACTTGTATGCCCCAAATTTCCACTCCGAGTATACAATACACACCAGAGACCTGTAAGCCCATCTGATGGCTTCATAGTCACAGTTTAATTCTTAAACTTGCAACTTAAGGTGTAAATGCATTCCTATGGTAGGCACCATCAACGAGGGTGACTACATCTACAAGGTATTTGGAGTTAATTTCTTACATGATCTCTTTGGGCAGCAACTATATCCAAATCCAAATCACTGCTAATGAGTTTGAAAAACACCACGATATGAAACCTTTGGAGATAGGAAATTACTGCTCTTTATCTTTCCTGCCCTGATTTTTGTCAGTGCTGAGGGGCTGTGAATCAGGACTTGCCTACACGACAGTGTGTTCTAATGAGATTCGTTAATGGAAAAGGCTATATATGGAAAATTGATGCTTCCGCCAATAAAATTGTCGAGCAGTTGTGCCAGAATAATGGGAACACTGGTGAAAGGTGACTGGCTTTTCCAGCATTTTAACTGGCACTCATTAGAAAAAGTTTTAAGTACGGCCTCAAGGTTGGATCTTCAAAGGCAGCTAGATCTTCCTGGCCTGGAATGAAAAATTTAAAAAAAAAGAAAAAAAGATACCACCATTCAAATAATACTTAATTCAGGAAAGACCTAAGGCCTTATCTTAGACACTCCCAGTTCCTAAACTAAGTTTGATATGCAAGGCCAAAGTATCAATGCTGACCTGGTAAAAGCCATTACCTACTGCAGAAATATTCTTACTTTAAAGTTGATTTCATGCTGTAGACAGGTGCCAAGCTGGCAGCTACTTACTCACACAGCATCTACAGCCTTGGCTGTAGAAACACGTTTCCTATAAATTCTCTGTTCAGACTTGTCCCAGAAAAAAAAATTTGCTTCATAGCTATGGCATGAAAATACACCTGTCTTCATTTTCACTTCTTCATCTTGCCAACTGGCTTGTTAAGAAAGCCCTGTTACTTCTGTTGGCCATCTCACACAATGACCAGCATTTGGTGGCTTGTGGGATTTCAATGGAGACCATTACGCTAGCCAGATGGTGCTGTTTCAGGCATTCATCTGAACAACTCTTAACTCATGATCTTGAGATAAAAGTGTCTCTCTTTCAGACATCAACTCATCCTTGCAATTAGCAACAAAACAAGTCACATGGCAGGAGACCAACTTCTCCATTTCACCTAATTTAGCGAAGACTGGGAATTACTGGGGCAATTTTCGGCAAATTTCATATCAGCACCTGTTTCAAACAGAAACACTAACAGCTGCTCAAAATAATTTCAGATCTTCCTGAATTAAGCCTTTCTCCAACTACAGCTGTACCTTTCAATCAGTAATGGAAAATAACCCTTGGTAAGTTGTCTCACCTGAAACCGTTTGCTTCCAGTGTGAATTTGGGTTAGCTTCAAATTCCAGTCATAAACTCTGATTGTCTCTCATAACTAGACTGAAGAACCCTCAATAACTAAATTCCTTTAAATATCCTTCCCTACCGATCCAGTCACTCGTAGCGATCTGACAGTTAGGTTAAGCCATTTGAGGCTTTTCTCCTCTCTTTAGTCATTTTGATGGCTCTTCTGTGAACCGTCTCTGATGCATCAGTGTCGTCTTTGGGGAAATCATCCAAGACCTGGCAGTTTTGTCAGTGCAAATATACAGATAAAATAACCTATGGCTCCTCAGAAACTTTATGTGAGGCTGCTTTCCTGAGAAAATGGGGTTAGGAACATTGAGTCTTAGGAAACACGGTAGGATGATGGGGAAAGCTGGGATTATTACCGTGGTGGAGGGAAAGGACATGGCACATACTTCTAGGAAACCAGGTTGCAGCAGTTCCAGCACCGATGGAATATTCTGCTTTACCCAGGGATGGCCCCCAGTCCTTTACCTACAGCCTCATCCAGAGAAAACTGGTACTCTGAGCACAGCTCTTCCATCTGCGCTCTCTGTCGCTACAGGGAGGAGGTGACATGGGGCCAAGTTAAAGCACAGATGACTGGATTGCTCTGAGCCATGGAGACACCCTCTTCATTATTTGTCAACCTTTACTGGGTCAACTATGTGTTTTCTCAAAAGCTGCTGATAAAATGTGAAACACCACAGGGCTGAGAGGTGTGACATCTCACCAGAAGTACTTCTCCCCTTACAAGCATTGCATAAAGTATTGTGTTAGCTTCCTAAATCAAAATATCATGAGTTACTAACTCAAATGTCTTATAAGGTATATTATATCCAAACAAGTACTTTCTATTTAAAAAAAAAAAAAATAAATCTAGAGTCCTATTAAAAAATGGCATCAGGTTACTAGGACAGGATCCATAAATACATATTAATTGGCATTACTAACAGTAACGCTTCCTAATCGAGTTCTTCATGAGGCTTTCAAGTGTTTTACTTAAGGTTCACATGGAGGTGACTAAGCCATACACGCCTAGGTCATGTCCTCTGCTCTCCTCCTACCTCCTGGAACTTTCCACGTGTTTCATGAGTTATTATAATAAAGACAAACTGTTCCTCAGCCAACACTTTCAAAACTCTAGGATGCAAATTACCCAAATATATTCACTTTTAAAAAATGTTCATAACTTCAGAAGTTGCTGCTTGGCATTCTCCTGATTTTCCAGGGGAACAAGACATCTTCATAACCGTCTTCTGAAATAATTACATCAGCTGTGTCTCTTCCACTGCATTACAGAAGTACCTGAATGTGCTTGCATTTACTAAAATGTTCTTGAAAGCAAGCAGTTTGTGATACTTTCTAAATTCTTCGTCCTGACCTATTCAGCTCAGAATTGCCTTCCGCATGTAGGACAAGATCTTTTAAAGGGCCAAATATTATAAACACAAAAACAGTAATGTGGTTTAGTGGTTTGGACTATTATGTTTGCATGTATGTAATACCATGTAGTTATGAATACTTTCACCTAAGAAAGCCCTCACTTGTAGCGGTGACATACTCCATCATCTGTCAAGACAAAAGCCAGCACAGAATTCCTCTCTGCTGCACACAACACTTGCTGATTATCAAATGTCCTTTGTCCAACATTGCTAAGGATGCTTCACTGTAAAGAATGTGAGGTTTCACCTCATATCACTTAGCTCAGAGTCTCTCTGAAGTAGTAACAGAATTCAACGTTTCTCCTGAACGCACTGGGCAACAGCTTACAGACAGGGCTGACAGCCCTCACACCCAGGATACCTGGTCTTGAACTTTGTATGACAGCACAGTCAAAGCACTCAAAATCCTCTACTTCCAAGCTGCTAATGAGCCAGAAACTCAGTAATTTATTATTCTGTTTTACCTAAAGCACTATTCCTCCTGTCACTTTTGCACGCTTTACCCTTCTTAAGCAGAAGATGACCACCAACTACGTATGATTCACCTTGTAATCATACAGACTATGCCACCAAACCCAGCAAGACTAAATTGATTGTCACAGATGAGTGATTCCAATTTGAAATGCACAAATGTGCCCTGGCCAACTGTAAACCCAGCCAATGCACCTAGAACATCTAAACGTAGCACCACAGCAATACTGCGTACAAGCCCAGTAACCTGGGGTTATGGACCTAACAACCTGCTACGACCAAGCACAACCTTCCTGGACATTGGCAGGAGGTGACACCAGAGACTGTGGGGCAGAACTTCAATCTTGTTTGCCGAAGGAGGCAACAAGTCTTTACACGTTGTGTTTCTGAGAAATTTGGCTAGAAATCTCCATGAAATCATCACTTAGGAGATGGGGAGTGAATACAACACAGACAGGCTCCAAAGTCAGTGCAGCACTAATATTTTGCCATCCATTTGGGACATCCTGCAAGCAATCTGTAATGTCTGTGACTATCAAGTTCCCATATGGGGTAAGGGTCGTGGTGAAAAATGTCCCATGACCAAGCCTCATCACACAGTCTCTCTGCAAGCTGACCATCAGTGCAGGAGACAAGGTCGTCCTGTGTCCCGTCCCCCACCCTGCCACCGAAGGAAAAGAAAAAAAATAGAGCAAAGCAACTAAAACAAGATTCAAGTTCAGCCTGCTCATCTATGCCTATCTCTCAAATCTGGAGCAAGCAAGAGCAGCAACTCCATAAGGGTTTAAGGCACCTACACAAAGGAAACTCAGTAAGGTCCTGGAGAAAATGTTCTTATTTTTGAGAGGGGTGGGGGGAAGCAGTCCTTCTGTTGTTGGACACCATGTGAGATGCCTCCAAGGCATCCAGCATTCCCAATAGAGACACATGTTGATGGACTCAAAGGCTGAAAGAACAACCTCTTGATGTACTTTTCCAGCAAAATCTGTGGCTTGGACCGCTGATGAAAGGAGCACAACTTGAGATTGCATTAATGAAAGGAGATGGTGAAGTGTTTGGTCCATCTTCTAGTTCACACAGGTGATCCTTCAAGTTTTGCGCAACGTACCAGCATTGCAGGCTTCTCACATGGTGTCCAACACATGAACACAGAAAGATAAAGGTAGTCCTTTGATGCCAGAGCTCCGACTTCCCAGAGCAAGTCCATCTGCTGGAAAGGCTGCTAAAGGACACAGCCCTTAAAACCATTTCAATGCTACAATTAACGAACAAGACACACACAGATTTTGTTGTCACCTACAAAGAAAAAAAGATGCCTTTGCACTTATAAGCTTATGTTAGGAGGCAAGCGAGGAGAACCTGACTCCCGGTTCTGCCATGCTTCCTAAGTGACCTTTGGGCAAGTTTCTTCATTTCATTTGAGACTTGCAGACACAGGCTATTTCCCAGCACTACATATTAGACTATGCAAGTCTGTACAGCTTATCTCCAAAAAAAATCTTTCCCTTGCTCATTCTTCAACTTCTTTACCCACCAACACTACATTAATGCAGCAGACCTGAAACATAATGGCACATTTCTTTTATGAAAATAAAAAGCTCCATCTATTGCATTGTCCAGAGGAGAAGCAGCCATACGCAAGCCATGGTGCAAGCATAGTAACTGAGCGCTTGCCAAAATGAGGAGTACATAGCACTGTGGAATTAAATTCAACATGAGAAAACCAAAGTCCTTCAAGGTTTTTTCAGTCTGATCGGTAAAAAGAAAAGTCAACACAGTAGCAGGCTGGGATCTCTCTATACCAATTTCAGATTCCCAATTTTTATTACTAGGCCTGTATGAAAACACCCTGCTGAGAAACTTTTTCTAGAGAGTTCATCAGATCCTGTTGGTTTCTTTTGAGTAAAAATTTACTTTTAAGTAAAGGAAATAATTAAAATACCTAGCAAGGAAGCATGAAAGAAAAAATATATAGAAAATTTATGTATCCAAGGAAAAGTCATTTCCACACAGGAAATCTTGTTTCTGCGAAGTGTCCAAAATTCTGTAACTTACAAGAAAAATCCAAGCCAAAGAATGTGTGCAGTAAGAAAAAAAAAAATCAGCAGAAATAAGTAACTCATTTAACTGGAAGTCTACATGTTGAATACCATCTACCTTATGCACACAAAAATCCTTTTTCCTCCCACATACTAGGTCAACACAAATAAAGCAAAACAGGGCAGGGACTACAGATATCCTGAGCCTTTCACCTCTGCAGGGCTTGGTGTCTCATTTGCTTTTACGTTGCAAGATTGTGGTGATGTCTTACACGCCCTGCTACAGGATACAGCTGATACAAATATTCTCAGCCAGTCTAGGAAAAGCTATCACTGCCCCATCCCTGCAAAACCTGCCTGGTTAGTGCTTCGAAAAGCAAAACGTCAAGATGTCTTCATGCATTTCTGCAAGCTGTGTGACACCATGTTATGGCTGGGAATGCTTTCTCCCTTCTCCCCTTCTTCCTGCTCCTTGGGAGGGCTTTCCCCCTCCCCCTGCCACTGATCCAACAAGCCCTGCGACCACCACCTCTTTAGGGCAAGGCACTTCACTGGCTCCTGGGATGTATGCACTGTACCTGTAATGGCTGAAGAGCCTGAGATTTTTACCTAACACAGCACACCAGAAACATGAACTGGATTGCTGTGCAAAGGTACCTCCAGCAGTGCATACCACCGCAGAACAGATGGTCACGTGAAGGCCACCTCCCCTCTGCGTTACAGACCAGCATGCCCACAGCAGCCCTGTGCCAAAACCTGGGTGTTTAGCCCCTCGCCTGCCCCACATAAAAACAACCTGCTGCTTTCTAAAGAGACAGACAGATGTGGGCTATGCTGCGGTTACTTGATAGACCCGGGTCACCGTTCTCCTGCAGCCACCCCCAACGCTGAAACGTTAGCTCACATTTATTTAGAAACCCCAGGTGGTTTTGCACAGCCTAGCTTTGATGGCGTGGTTTTGACAATTTTACGAGGAACTCAATAATTTAACAAAATAAAAGGAGAAGCCCTGAGGGAGAGATGGGGGGCACGCCAAAGGCTCCAGCTCCAGCATCTTGTGGAGTCTGCGGGCTGCTAAGTGCACGTCCACAACAGGAACGCCCACCACATGAGACAGCCGAGACTCAGCGCTGACCAAGGAGACGCTCCATCATAGCTGGTCTGGCCCCTGATGGGATTTCCTTGATCGAATTTCACAGGAAGCAGCCATTGCAAATGGCTCTTCATTACTCACAAAAGCCATATAATGAGCCTCCCTGCTTTGATTAGGGCTAGCATTTGGTTTGGAGGACAGCAAATGGATAATACTATTTCCTGGAAAAAATGTTGGCATGGAAGGACACATTGTCTTGATTAATGCTATTGAGTAATGAGGTCATTCAGCAGTCCTAGATCTAACTTCCTGGCTCCCACTACCAAAACAAACAATACCTAATTTTACGTCTGCTGAACAGCATTCGGAGATGTGTTCAAAAAAAGAGTAAGTGGGATTAGACTTCAAAGCTGAAATACTGAAGTATACAGAGCTCAGTAACGCTGAGGAATGAAGAACAACCTTTTATAAAATTAAGCCACTTTTACCACCCCATACTCTTATCAGAATATCCAATGTATGCAAACAGTTGTTGATGTGGTTACTGTAAGTAGCCACTTAATGAAACTCCCAGAAATACAAACACTGCTGCATAATTAGCATGCAATTAAACAAATAGCAAAACTAGATCATTTTTTTCCTTTGTTTTGTGCATGGAAATAAGGTATAGATGATAACAACCTTATAACTTTCATTCCATACAATGGCTGTGACTCATTCCAGTACCAGTAATGCACTAGCCATGTGCTTTTGTCGTGGTACTGTGTCTCTTCTCACAAAGTATTACTTATACAGACTCAAACCCTCTAGGCATTATTCAAATCACAACTTTCACTCTGTATTGAAAGCCCTTGAAACCGTTCACGTAAAATACGTATCTTCACATTAGTGATGTGAAAGGTGCAATTTGAACTCCATAATTACAAGCAAAATGCAAAGTAAACCCTTTGTAAGCTGATACCAAAAGCACGCCAGAGCCCAGGTGCACAGCAGCTCCAAGGTACAAGGCACCACAGAGACTGGCGTGGGGCTGAAAGGGGATATTGCTAACCAGCTGCAGGTTGTCCACCTGCAGCCTCTCTCGTCCTTCTCACTGAAACTCTGATGTGCTCCGTTCTTAGTGCACTTCACTACCTTTTAATATTCCTTGTTTTTACAGTTCTTACCTCAGTGGGGTGTTGGTGTATATATGAAGCAAAGACACAGTACTACATAATGCTCACATACAGCAGATGTTCTGGACATGTCTACTGATAGTTTTTCCCTACTGTGTTACATGACAAACAAAATCCAATTGTATAACTAAGGGTAACACTGCTAAGAATTCAAACAGGACTTCAGCTTTGTTATTCTGGTAGATACATACACTCACTGTACAGACAGTTACGCATATTCAAGCAGTGAATTCAATTATTTAAGAACATAAGACACATTCATATTTGTGGGACTCAGATTAATTTGCAACATTAGTCATAATAAATAAAATATTTATATGACATTTTTCTCTGAACCACTACGCATTACAGAGCAACATACAGTGTGACCACCCCTGACAGAACTGGATGCCGCAGCCTGCCTGACTTGTTTTTTTTTTCACCCCAGCAGGGCCAGAATTGCATCCTTCATCTAATGCGAGTTTTTAAGAGAAAAAATATGTACTGCAAAAACATGCAGAAGGAATGTGAGCTATGTAAAGTGTGTGTTGGGGGAGAAGCATAAGGGGCAGAAAAAAAGCCCTAGTAGTTAAACTTCATATTGGTAGTGCCCTTTACTGCTAAGCTGTTAAGTTAGTGTGTTTGTGTATTCTTTGTGTATTTTATAGCTTATATCTTATAGTCAAATTCAGGACCTGAAAATTATTAAGCGGCTACAGTGAGTTTTGTTACTTTAAACCAATAATCCTGATCGTTCTGCACATCACCTGATGGAAAGCAATGGAGACTGTCTTCTTCTGGTCTGGTGTTATTATTTTAAAAGGTGGAAATGCCTTTTCCAATTCTTGTCCCCTGCCTGGGGGTGAATTCTCTTACCGGGTAGGTACGGGGACTTCAGTCAGAGCACCCAACATGACCGCCTGCTGCAGCCGGACGAAGGCAATGAAAGGACTCTCCAGGAAGTCTACCTCCCCCACCAGCACATTAGATGCCTCAGCATCACGGGGCAATTTCTTCATGAATTTATTCTTCAGCTGCGTCCGTAAAAGAGGAAGGAAAAGAAAATTAAGTCTTGTTAGGCACACAAATAAAATTTACCCGGTTTTCACCGACATTTCCTCGTTGGTCAGAATACATCATTGGCTAATGTGTATCATCCCCACAGAGTCTACTGAGATACAAATGCTAGGAAGCTCAGCCCCAGAAGAACAATGCAGATACTGGTGCTTGGAGCCAAGACGATGCTGAGAAGATTATGCCTCTTGGAGCTGCTGTTTGTTTACAGGCCAGAGATGGTGTTATTTTGGGGAGAAAAAGGTGTGCAGCACTGAGGAAGATGGGCAGACCCAGGTGGGGTTTCAGGAAGCAGCACTGCACCACCTCGCTGCCTGGCCATCCGCATGACGGGGAAGGGCAGGCACTTTTTGCGAGTAAAAGTGCAACTTCACGATCTGTGGTACCTGCTACAGAAAAGACTGGCCTGAGGAAAACTAACCCTGAAGGAGGGACGCCAGGAGCTGGGCACCTGCACTTCACTATGTACGTGTCTTTTCAAGTTCCAAGGAAAAGACTAAGCTTAGTTGCAGGCTTTTAGAAGCATGTTTCCTAGCCCGTGACTTCTCCCTTAATATAAAATTTGCTTGAGGTTGTCTGAAGCCGTTGTTCCCATTGCCTGTGCAGGCCAGCACATGAGGAGTCAGTGGGCAAAAGTAGCCGTCGTGCTGGCTTTGAAACTACAGTCTCAATAACTGTCTAGGTGAGAGACTGGCTCGTTAGTGCTTCCCACAATCACCGCCCGAGCCTCAGCCCTGCCGCAGGCTGCTGCGCTGAGAGCACAGAGCAGGGCACAGCCAAAGAGGGACAGAGGAACATGACCAATCATTAGAGACCTTCTGCCCAGGAGAAACCGCCTTCTCAATCCTTCTGCAGAATGATGCTGGATGGCAACTATATCCCTCACCTCCCAAAGATCTGAAGGAAAAGAAATCCTGGGGAAGAAGTGAGGTGAAAAGGGACATCCATGAAGAAGAGAGAGAACAGAGAGGGTTTCCGAGGAAAATAAAAGCACAAGGCATGGACAGAGAAGCCAAGGTGGGAGTGGGGGGAGATGAGGAAGAGGGTGGTTGTTTGTGGCTCTCTTAACTGCTCTCCTCCTGAGGAGGCTCCTAGCACTCTGCTAGCCCAGGTATGAATACCAAGCAAGGAGGCGGGGGGTTTTTGGGGGGCGGTGTACATCTACCTACCCCAAACCCAAGTATTTCTTTGAAGTACAATCATTATCTACCCTTAATGAACTTGTGCAATTCGTACAACAGCAACACAACTATGCATGCAGAAGTTGTGGATAAAGGCACTTTTAAAAAAAAGAATCAATAAGCAGGCAGGTAGCAGTAACTGCCTGTCTTCTTCCTTTACTTGGATAGCACACAGAAACTCCCTCCTCCATTCCAGCCACATAACTGAAATACATGTAAAACCCCACCACCGAAAGGCAGCTGATGAGGTTGCTAGTCACTGTGTGACTCTCACGTTTCCACCATCAATTAAACATCCATTGCTTTATAATCAAATTACTGCAGCTGATGTTTTACCCTGCCACAGCAACTGCTAACTTGATCCCAACTCTGTCCTCTATCCTGTTGTGTTCGAAAGCAAAGAAAGAGCAAACACTTAGAAATTTGCTGATGCTTTGAAACAGTTTTGAGCGGTTTTGCCCCTTAAATTCTGGGCTGAGATACAATTTGGGAGCAATGTGGTGCCATGCCAGCAGCAACACCCCATGTGCCACTGAGCTTCGTGTGGCACAAGGATAACAGCATAAAGCTGTCTAACTCCCCTGTTGAAGAGACAGAGGGACCTCCTGGGAAAAGCAACCAACACAGCTGGCAGGCTTGCTCTGGTCAGCTCTTTAGCCCCAAAGGCTCAGGTTACGCTTTCCAAAGGACAGCTCAATATAAGATCAAAATCATTGTTGGAAAAGGACAGGCTCTTCTGAAGTGCACCCAGGTAAATACAGACGACAGTTCATGATGAACTCGCACACTTCAGGAAATATTTTGTAGCAAAAGAAATTCAACTAAGACACCAAAATTTCTTTCTGATCACTCTAGTAATCTGATTTCCTTACCCACCTAGGATATTTCAACACGTCCTGCCCGTAATGCCTTTCTAGCCTTATCCTTTCTCTGTACTCTCACGATCTTTGACTTCTCCTTCCTCCCTAGTAAACATGAGGGTGAGTTACCATCTGAGCTTTTTTTGGAGGTGGTGGTGCTTTTTCTAGTGTTCTTTCACTCTCTTTCTACATCTTTGCCTTTTTGTCCATTAACAGTGACAACAGCTGTGCCAGAAACATGACACAGGGAGCTGGTGAAGCCATTGTGAGCATACACCAATGCAATTGCACTGCTCACCTCCAAGCTTTCTCATACTTAAGATCTAGATTTTAGTCTATTTGAAAAACAATGCAATTTGATTTTTTTCTTAAGAATGTTGTATCTCAAAACAAAACAATGTCGTCATATTTGAAAATTCAGTATTTAACAGAATTTCCTGTCAATTTTTGCTGCTTGGTCAATAGGAAAAACACATGGGAATATACATCTTTTTCATCATATTGAGAGTTTAACTCTTCATTCATGGCAAGCCCACTGTTAGCTGTGGCTCTAAATGTGATGCATGCATGGCCTCTCCTGGCTCCTCCAACTCCATTACACCTGGGCTGCAAAGTGTCACAGTCAACCATGTAACCTAAGGCAGCCTGTCACTGTGAAGTGGAAATAAGCTCCGTGCATTTGATCTACAGACAACTACCCCAGTCCCTGCATTAAAATACGCATGCAGCCATTTTCTGACTTGAAAAGGGAGAACAGAGCAAGACCTTCTGTTCCCTACGTCTTGTGCCTTTCTGAGGGCTGTCTGCTTGCTGCACAAGCGATGGGAGAGCAGCACCAGAGGAGCCAACATAAGGTGAATCCACCAGCAAGGAAAGCAGCATTGGGACTTCAGCCACGATATAAGCAGCACTTCTCAAAATGCAGCAAAGCATCTGTTGTGTTACTGAACAGTGGGGCTCAAAACTGCAGGAAAGCGAGCTTAGAAGACAATCTATAAAGCTGTATTTATTAACATCCAGCAATCCTTCCTGAGGTGTTCAAACAGTATCTGAGGTCCAATTCTGTTCTCATCGCCATTAAACCAGAGCGCCAGCAGAAATCTACTGACCAGCATTATTCTGACCAGCCAACTGCCAGGGTTACTCTCATTTACACATCTTCTCCCAAAGTCTAGCTATAGCTTCACACTAAAAATAGTTCCTTACAGCCTGAACGTTATTCTTCTCATCTCTGCACCTATATACTGTAATTAAATGTACCGCAGCGGACAGGAGCACGCTCACAGGGCTCTGCAACATTCATCCTGTAGCTGACAAAATATTAGCTAAGTCCAGCTATGGAGAAATGTCATCATTTGCTTCTGATGTGATACTGGGAAAACACTGCAGCAGCTGAGTTTTAAAAATCAGTATCTCCTGGCCCTTTTCTGGTATCTTCCTGGCACTTGAAATCTCTTTAGCCTGGCACAGAATTGCCTTTCTGCTAGGTTATTAAGCTAGCTCAAGCAGGCCTGTTGCCCGGCAGGGTGATCTGAGCAGTGTTGCTCTCGCCCCCAGCCCTCCGCGTAGCACCAGCAAAGCTCCTGCAGCCTTGGCCATGCTGGTGAGGGACACCACTGACCCCATCTTCTACGCACCCCTCTATCTGGCTTAGCAATCAGGCTGCGTCCTCGCAGCCACGGAGGGATTTCCGAGATGGCTTTATTTTTTAACTTCAGCAGCAGCAGAATTAATTTGAAGTTGAAGGCTTTTGAAAAATCCTGCCCTTAGTTGATTCCCAGCTCCCCCCCCGCCTTCCCCCTTCACCCTGGGTGATCTTTGGAGATGCTGTTTGTCTGGCTAAGGGTGAATGGTGAGGGAGGATGTACTGCCAGAAACACCAACAGGGGTAACACTTAACTGGGCTACAAATCCGTAACGAGCTTTGCCAGGCAACTCAAAGAAGTAGAAAAATGGAAAAAGTCTCATGAAAGGCGTGAATTATTGATTCAGCCACTTCAGTCAGGATTACCACCAGAGAAAATATTAAATAATCATCAAGGAGCTCTGTGGAGGAAGCCTGGAAAAGTGCTACCAGTTCTTCCATGAATAGTGTTTTGGAGGAAACTGGAGATAAAAAAATAACAGGAAGGTGGTAAATCCACACTAAGCACTCAACTTTGCTGAACAGGTTGGTTGTGCGCTCACACTTGCTGCTGAACAAGCACAGTGTTGGCCCAAACCCAGGTGCCTTTCTGAACCAGAACCAACAAACAGGGTCTAAAGTCCCACAGCTGACCAGCTCCTGAGGCCGAGGAGACCGGCTCCTTTGGCCTCCCCTCTACGCAGCACATCAAAACAGCATGACTAATTTTGAAGAGCAATCAGTACAGTGGGTTTTTTGCTCCAAGTGAGTTTTGCAACATCACTCGCCACTTTCTTAAATAATTTATCAGATAGGTGACGGGGAGGGTGCAGTCAACACTTACAATCCATTTTGAACCACTTCCTGAAGAAGCTTCAGAAAGATCCGAGCCCTCAGCAGCACCCGAGAGCAGGGAGGGAGGGAGGCTGTGCAGCTGGAAGAGATACATTGACTTACCCCGCACGCTGCTAAATTGAGCATTGTTCCAACCTGACCACTAATGTTATGTTAAAGGCCACAGATCTCCAATGCTGTACTTGCAAAAAGGCACGGCAACTTGAAAATCACAATTTCCCTAAATGTATTTTAACACTCTGTTATCATCAGCATCACTTAAGAGTTATCGGAAATGAAAGCAATTCCTAAGTACACACAGCTTTTATTGCATCTGTCTGTTTGCTCTCAGGCACATGACTGTGCTGTAGACCTGTCTGACTTGCCCTCTCACAGATGCTGCCTCCCCTGCAGAGGCAGATCACTCTGCATCAAATATTTAGTAAAGGATGGATAGTTTC